ATAACTTCCGGATCACTTCACTTTGATCACTGTCGTTGTCCTTTAATAAGGACTTTGATATACAGATTTGTCAGTCGTGAGAGTTAACTTCAGTTGCCAATGGGGTTTCAGATGATCGGCTCTCCAATTGAGGGAAAGCTGCTTGAGTGAGGGGACGATGACACTGAGTAAGCATGGTGCGGTGGTTGAATCAGATGTATATGTTGCAGCTCAAGGTCAAACAAAGTGCATATGGCAATTGGAGCGTGAGGTGCTAAGTACTTGATGATTTTGTTAAGCTTGCCTCAACAGTTTTGGCTATAGCACATAAGGGTTTTGGCTTCCCTTTTTTTTTGCTGAAGTTTGAGCCAAGGACCAAACCTCCAAACCCCCTGTACAGCTTATACAGGCATTCTCAGGCTGTTACACAAGGACACAAGAACCAAATCTGGCAAACTCTCCAGAAAATATCACAGCACCGAAGTCTTGTTGAAATTGATATGAGGATGTGTACCTTCTCATGGAGAACAACATATGAGAAGGATGAAATATTCTATGGTGAGGTGAAGAAGAAAAGTTGAAAAAACTACATAAGGGTACTTAAGATCTGGAGGTCATCCGCCAAAAATTGCAAGTCCGCCGTAAGCCCCTCTGCGAGGGCGTGGATGCGGCCACACAAGGGGCTTAGTTAAGCTCAGGACAAGACAAACAATCCTATGCTTGGATCTAAGGCATATACTGTTTTCACCGGTCAGTTTTTACACAGCCGCAGTTTTGCCCACCTACGTGCAAATTTGGCATACAGGCTGAGACCTGTCAAAAGGACATCATACAGGGTACTTTTTTACACACCAGCGGTGGTGATGTTCTTACTGAGAAAAGACATATCAATCAGTGAAGGGAATAAAATTGACGACAAAAGACACCAATACAGGTATCAATTCTGTATCAGATGCATGTCACAGAGGTAAAACCACAACAAACAGCATGTTACCCTAGGGCTGTGACCCGGCCCTGGCCCCGCCCGGCCGACTGTGCCCGCTGGTTTTCTGGAAGCAGACAGTACGTGCCCTGACACACCAAAACCTACTTACAGTCAACTCTTGATGTAAGTAAGCTCGACGTAGGCATATCTTGCTATATGCATAGGTTTTTGCGGGATTTTTTTTGGTATACATGGGCCCAAAAGGCATTTATGCTTTTGCAATGTGCATTGCACAATATAAGCAAGGAGAATCTGTTGACCATCGATATGCTTACATCGAGAGCCAACTGTAATAAGGGTCATAAAAGCCCCGTGAGCACCTGGGCGGCCCGGTCCGCCCTGGTCCCCATCATTTTTTTTGCTGAATAATCTAAAAAATTGCCTTTTGAGTTGGGTCCCATGGCTCTCTCCAAGGTCTGAGTAGGCTGATATAAGGTTTATGTACAATTTTATACACCTAGATGTGCAACAAACACCAGAAATCCCCCTCTATGGCCCCTTTTACCTCTTAAAATCAATTCAGGGTATGCCCTGGCTGGCCCTGAGTGTTTTCTGGATCACCTCGGGTCTGCCCAAGGCCAGGCGATGCCCCGGGTCCGCCCTGTCACACTCGTGGCCGGGTCACAGCCTTATGTTACCCATGGAAAAGGTTGTATCAAAAAGGGAACAACCCGTGGATGTTACCGATGAAATTGGTATCAAAAGCCTCAAAAGGCCAGTTTTTGAGGTATCAATCAATTGTTTTTTTGCAATTTCCCGTTGGATGGTTCCATAGGACCTTTCCAGGGTCCTTGTTTGGCTTCAAATTGTCGGATGTTTGCCGGTGAAATTTGTCAAGATTTTTGCAATCGATTGTAGTAACCTATGAAAAATCCCGGAATTGGTGATGTTAGACAACCCCCCCACCTAGGACACTGACGGGGCCCAACATGCTCCCTATCCTGGCAATAGTGTCATTATTTTTAGCTGATTCTAGTCACAGGCTGATATGTACAGTAGATTTCATAAAGGTTGAAATTGAGGTTTTTTGAAAATCGAGAGGTGGCCCGTGCGCCACCTGTGACAGGTCTCAAATATGCATACCAGATCGATGAACATACAGTAACAAGACTTTCAACAACCCCAACCCTTCAATTGTTTGGTGGCGCAGTGGTCAAGAGCCGTGATTGGGTGGTGCGACTTTGATGCGACTCCTGTGTTTGACTCATTGCCCTTATATTTTTACCACTGTTTTTTTGCCTAGAATCAACGATGAAATGGCAACAAGCAAATGTGAGCAATCAAAACCAGCATAGCTTTCCCATTCTTTCAGTTTATGACACCAAGCAAAGCAAATATGAAAAACTTGTCAAAAGTTGTGATGACATAAAAGGAAGCCACTCGGGCTCGAACTCAAAAATTTGCACCTTATGAGGGTGAGCATACCCATGTAGAGGGCATTCATCCAACGTTGCTGTGCCAAAGGTTCTTTTCAGTAAGTGTGTCTATGCTGTCTATGTCAGCATTTTGGTATGCATTTTGAGACCTGTCACAGGTGGCGCACGGTCCACCTCTCGATTTTCAAAAAACCTCAATTTCAACCTTTATGAAATCTACTGTATCACATTCTGTCATTTGCACTGAGATTATGAGCTTTGTGGCTGATTGTTGGTGGTTCAAATAGGTTAACGACGGCTCAGGGGAGAGGGTTCATGTTCGCGATCTGCATGAATTGAGGAGCTACAGCCTCAAATTTTCGGGCACCCAAGCGTCATGCGTGGTAGTTGATCGAGCTAGAAAAAAGCATGATTATAAAGAAGTTTTAACAACGAAAAAATCAAAAAAGCGAGAGCCGAGCATGGTGCGACGATCGGATATAGCTCGGCGCACCTTTTTTTTGAGCACGTATGTAGCTACGTAGATGAAATGCGAGAACACAGAACGTCATTTGTGAGAGGGAGAACTATCACTGCAAATGGTGTTGGATAACCCTAACCCGTCCAGGGAGGTCATTTACAGGCGGTCTTTTGAGCCGCAAAAAAACCACCATAGAGCATCATACTGCCCTATAATGCCAGGACTTGCTATGTATATCCAAAAAGCACCTGGGATCTCTCGCTTCCCTCAAAGTTGCAAGCTGGAATCAATTTGCCTGTGACGATAGCGGCAGGAGGGTGGCCAGACTCTGTGCTCGTTCTTGAGCCACAATTCTTCTACACTGTTGGCTGATCATGTAAACTAATCCTTCAACTTTGAAAATGTTGACTTCTTCCCCTCCACCTTCTGTCATCATGTTATGTACACTGGGGCGACTTTCTCATTTTTAAGTGATGTACCACGACCATATAGGCAGGCTGCGCGCATTCATGGACATCAGGAATCAGGATATGTATGTAAGTAGATTTTGATATTCTCTGCTCAAGCTCCCACGACCAACCTTGTAAGAAAGGATCTGCTCGATTAAGGATTATGTTGTAACTTCATCTGCATAGATATCAGACGAAACCTGAGTTATCATGCTACATATGGCTGTGAATGGGCAGGTCGGTCGGTCTGCCTTCAATCTGTGACGCAGACGCATGGTAGTAAACTTCGACTTGCGCTAAGCTCGGCAGAGAAAACACGAGACTTGATAATCTTGATTCAAAAGTTCAACGTGGCTATTGACAAACTTCTGAAACCCTATCACTTCGCTCAAGGCCGTTACTGCACAACTTTCGCCCATCTTCCCATCGGTTAAGCGTATGGACGTGTTTGCGTGTGCACCATGTGTATATGCTGTGGAACAGCTCAATTTGATGGAAGCCAATATGTAGAAAGGTCCCACACATTTCACCGAGCTGAGGGTCCATTTTATTCACCGGTGCATGCTCGCTACTGCCCTGGTGTAATATGTGAACCATCGACTGGGTTTTGGTGGGGGCATTGGACACAAATACTAAGAACAGAACAATGACATCATCTTGCCCAGTTCCATTCCTTGTCTAAGCCAAAAAGCATGTACATACTGATGCCCCCATCCTTACCACAAATCAACATCTGCACCAAACACTCACTGGGGCTGGTTAAAACCTGTTAAAACTGTGATTGCACTACAGCTCTGGATTACATAGTTGTATCTAAACAGGTACACGGTTCAAGAATTTTCTTTGCAGATTTCCAATTTTTTCTCGTTTGACGGCGCCTATCATCTTTCATTTCACCCGGATTCCAATTGCATCGTACCACCGTCTTGTGTCTTCTTTTATAACGCCTTATCCTATACGCGCTCCGGTACAGAAAACCACTCTATCCAAAACCATCTTTTACTATCCGTAAAAACTCGTATTCAGGCGCAGTCGGTGATTAGAGATTGAACTTTGAGAAACATCGTCATTCAAGTTCAGACGGTGATTGGCGGATCACGTCAGATAAGTTATACTCTTATACAAGGCGGGATTGCTTGAGAAGTTTACATCGCGTGGCACGCACAAGAGGATTTTGTGGATTGATTGGCAAAGTAGGCATGTCAGATTCTTAGCTCGTTTTTCTCTCATCTCGAAAGGTTCTTGAGTCAATTCAAACCGGTTCGCAATCCGCATTTTTTTCTCTTCTGTTTTCCCCTCATCCTCGTCACGAAAGAGGTAGCGATTGACGAAAATACCAAACTGATGTGAGACTCGTATGCTTGGGTCCCTGAAATTATTAGGACTAGAACAACCTTGAGACCCCATTGAACTCGACTGTCATTTTGATACTTTATTTACCATTCCCTGATTTTGAAGATTGCTTGAATTACCTCTTTCTTAGTTCTCCCGTTTATTAGTCAACTATCTTTGCTATATATTTTTATTCATCACTTGGAATTCAAACTCTTGGAGCAGCACTCGAAAAAAATAATTCTGTCTAATCAAGGTTTTCTCACTTAGATTATAATACTTCGGTCTCAACTTTATATCAATCTATTCGTTTTTCACTTTGAACACTTAACGATATCCAATCCTTGAATTAATATCTTATCATTTACATCCGGGTCACTTGACTGTCTCTTCTACACACTAAGCTTGGTGTTGAAAGAATGACAACTCTTAACAAGCGGTGAGTCAAAGACATTACTTATAAGTCGCCTTTTGATAAGTCAAAATGAATGGCGGGAAAAATGAAGCAAACCTTATGATCAGAAATCTCGGCTGACCTCATTTCTTTCTTTTCATGCTACGTGTTATTTCGTACTCAGATCGAAGGACAACAGCAGCGCCGAGGCTGTGCAGAACAGCACAGAAGATAAATATATGAACGAGACCTCAGGGTTCACCCAACCTAATTCGATACCCATCACATTTCCAGATCCTAGCTCAGCTCTCATTCCTATAATTCCCGGGGTCCCGGATGAAAAACAAATCCCTTCATCATCACATTCAATCAAAACAATCGGACCCTTATGTCTCGTGACCTTTGCCATTTTTATTCCTCTATCCTTGGCAGTAATTTGGCTAGTACGACGGAAACTGAAAAGAGACAAAACAGACATCTTATCACGAATCACAAGTTCTTCTCAACCATCACTCTCCATCGATACACGTGAAAGTTGGGAAACAGTAGTAGTCGATCTTCCTTCTCTGTTGGATCCACCAGAACCAGCAGTGGCAGGTTTAGGTAGACTTTGGGCACGTGTGACAAATAGAAGAGAGCCTGTAATATCATCCACTAGTTCTGGTTGGACTGGAATTGAAGATTCTTCATTAGGACCATTGGAATGGTATGCTAAACATTCACCACCTAATCAAACGGCTGTTTATCCTAGGTTGATTAGTGAATGCGAAAAAGATTTTTTGCAATCTGAGGAAAGATCACGTACTTGGAGTTTAGCTTAAACTTTTAATGTCTTTATCTTTACTTGCCTTTCTCTTTTGTTCGCTTCTGTGAAGATTGTGTAAAGTTTTCTTCTTCGAGTCTTTTCTTTTCTTGATAATTTGTAATGTGTTTGTTCCTAGGGAGATGAGTAGCTTAGTCGATAATTGTGAGGAAATCTTGTCATACGTGTAGCATTTGGGGGTGTAGGAGATGTTTCATTTGTATGTTTCAATGTGGGTTTTTGTGGGTTGGAAACTAATTTGGAAGTACTTAAGTCAGTTGGTATAGCATTTAACTTATTTAGAATTGTAAAATAAAGATAAAAATTGTCGCTAATGGGAGTTTTTGGTTCACTCTGGCTCTCATCAACTGGCGTGCGTAGATGAGACTGCATTTGTATATGTCAACTTTTATATCCAATTGATTGATTTGATGGCTAGTGCCGCTCAGGAGTCGCGTGAAATTCTTCTTCCAGAGAGTCCTGGAGTGTCATTCCTCCTTGTTTTCTTATCATCGATCGTGATATGGAGAAAGAGACAATCAACGGTTGTTTTCCAAAAAAGGACACGCACGGCGGGTGCGTGCCCCGAAATTTGGTTTAAAACAGTCCGACCAATGCGGCTGAGTTAGGCAAAGTCCCGCCCAAACCTGGTTCTTGTCACGTCATCATCATTTCCATTGAAATCTACTTGCCTTTTTGTTATAATTATGGTGTTCAAACATGTACAAGAATTGTGCAATACTGAGCAAGACCTGTGCAAGACCTGTGCAAGATCTTGCACATTAAATGTTTTGACAACCCCATTTATTGTATTCCAACTGGTGCAAGTTCTGTGCAAGATATGAATGGAGCTTGCAAGGTCTGTGCAAGATCCGTGCAAGCTCTATTCATATCTTGCACAAAACTTGCGCAAATTGACTTTGAAGTTTGAACGCCATAAATGATCTGAATTTTCTTATTTACTATTTCATTACTATATTTCTACTACACAAAAAGACTACACTAGTTATAACACTACAAGAAACATAACATTTTCTGGGCAGACTTGCTACAGTGTGGGTTTGGAGGGGCCTTCAGACCACAGGTTCTCTGGCCCAGTAGGCTCTCTGCTGCCATAACTTGTGACTTATTTTCTGGATCCTGCTGAGAGGACCCAGGAAGGCTCCTATTAGGGCAGGTGTATTGTGGTTTGTGTCAAAAAAGCTTGGGATTTGGACTTGAATTTTATGTATGTTCATGCCAGAAACCATTGGGATTTTACATTTTTTCTCAAATGTTTGTATTGGAAAATGTCAGAATTTTGGGTCAATTCTGGGTAAAAAGTTGACAAAAGTGGCATAAAGAGGCTTAAGTTGTTGAGTTACAGCTGTTCCCAAAAAGTTTACTTTTTTATTTTTTCAAAATCACTTCTATTATTACACAGCAAATCCTATGAAGACCCTTGGCAGTTTGTATCACCCAAAAGAGCCTCTCTCAATCCCCACAGTACATTGTCACCATGATTGTGCATGCACAGGGTCCGTTGCCTTGTCATTTGTCTTGTTGAGGTTTGTGCCAAAAGGTGTTAGGATTTGGATTTTGTTGCATCTGACTTGAGTTGATGTTGTTTTGCAATGGGGTTCTTGATACAGACCCCAATAACAGCTTTCCTGGGTCCTCTGCAGAGGTCCTTCCTTGGTAGGTCTCAATAGTTTGATTCTTGTAAGATAGTTGATTGTTTAATGGTTGATCCTTGTTTCTCTCCTGCTGTCATATATGTCAATCAATTCCTTTATCTGAAGTTGTCTCCTTCACTCAATCAGACACTGTCAAGGCAGTATTCAATATGTATATATTCTCATGTACACAGACAGGTCAATGGCAGCTAATTAAATTCACATCTGCTGTTCAATCAAGGATCAAAATGAGGTCAATTCATATATACAATTGTTCATCAACTGTGATATGCTACAAAGTAATCATTCACTGATCCTCTTTTTTCTCTGTTCTGTCTTTTTTCTCTGTTCTGTCCTTTTTCTCTGTTCTGTCCTTTTTCTCTGTTCTGTCTTTTTTCTCTGTTCTGTCCTTTTTCTCTGTTCTGTCCTTTTTCTCTGTTCTGTCCTTTTTCTCTGTTCTGTCCTTTTTCTCTGTCCTGTCTTCTTCATCACTTCTTTCAGTTGCCATCAATTTCCACATATACTTCCCATCCTCAAAATTGTCCTCGCTATGCTTCCATAAGTAAAATGAAAGAGTTCAATGCGGATTGTAAAATCAACACAACCTAGAGCAAAAGGTTATACCTGGGCAGACAGGTTGAAGGGTGAGATCTAAGTGAACTCGACGTAGATAGATGGCGGAGATGATCACACTCCTACCTGCAAACAGTGCAGGTGGGAAACAAAAGAGAACTATTGTAGTCAAGTGAGCTAAGTCCAGTAGATTGATAAAAAGTGAAACAAGAAATAAAAACACTTACTCTGAGTGTTCTCATTCCTAACGGTGAGGAACAATCTCAGAGCACAAGAGAGAGCAGATATATGTGGACAAGCAAGAACAAGATTGAAACACTGAAAAACTCTGACAAGAATGTGACTTGACCAATTTGGACAACTAAACAAAGAAGCAGGAACATAACCACAATAAGAAATCCCAAAGTAGATAGTAATGAACAGACTCCTTATCCTAATCCGTACAGTGATACCTTTCCTTCAGACACACCATAGTGCTCTTGATTATTTGAGGTAACCTATCCTTATTCTTCTTGAAACTGTAACTAGCCTTGTCTTAACATTCCTCTGAGTTATCACATAGGCAATTTGTGATGGACTTGAACATAGAAATCTTTGACCACAACATAAAGTTCATACACCTTTAATCCTGAAATAATTTGATGTGTATCAGAATCAACACAATAGAGCAGATTGATACCTGGACAGACAGGTGTAAGACACAAGCTCTATGATTAGACTCAAATAGGGATGAACACTTGGCAGAAAAACTAATGAAATCAGAAAGACATGTGAACTGGAGAGTGTCACAAGTTAGTGATGTAAATGAGCTAAGGCTATGAATCACATAGGAGTGATCTGAAGAGGAAAATGCACCTGTTGGAAGGTGGCACAAATCAAGATGTAAAGGGTTTGGGTAATTGATCAACACAAGCAACACACAGCAGATAGCTAGCTGAGAGAGAAAACAATGATGCAGACCTGGAGAGTATCACGAGTTTAGTGATGTAAATGCACTAAGGCTCTGAATCACGTGGGATTGGTCTGAAGAGAAATATGCACCTGTTGAAAGGTGGCACAAATAAAGATGTAAAGTGTTTGAGTAAGGAAAACACCTGATATGCACAGAATTAATCTTTATATAGTGAATTATTCTCTAACCATAGGTTTTGCAGACATATAGGTTCAGCGTCTCTCATTTACCACATTGGGCATACTGGTAACAAGTTAGCATCATGTAACAAAAGAACAAACAAACAAAATTAGGAGAGGAAATGACTCAAAGTGGATTGATAGGATGGTGACTAGCACTGCCAACATAGATGCCTCAGGTTGAGAAATCCAAGGCATCATCAGAGGCAAATCCTTGGACAGACCTTGTCCAAGGTTTTTGTCCAAGGTGTTCTTATGCACTGAGAATTAACTAGGATCATAACCTCGGACAGCAGCTGTTCAAGGTTTGAAATCCAAGAATACCTCGGATTTTTTGATCCAAGGTAAATATGTTGATGGTGTAGTGTGTGACATAAGTTTCACTTGAATAAAACAACAACTGATAACTCTATTTACCTGGACAGACAGATGCAAGACAAAACCTCCGGGGTTATACTTGGATAGGGATGAACACTTGATGCAAAAATTCAATGCCTCACCTGCAAGAATACAGGAAGTAAAAAGAGCAGAAAGACTATGAGATCGTGATGAGGGCAGCCCAGGAAACAAAATGTAATTAAAATGATGTAAAAAACATACCCTTGAGCTATCAATTCCTAACAGTGAGGAAATGAAAAGAGAGCTTGGGAGAGGCTGAGTATATGTATGAAAGAAATTGAACACAAATTGCACACCCAAAATCTCACACAGGGGTAATGAAACATTCCTACAGATGAACACATACATGGAGCTATTCTCAAAGAGGAAAGACTGCATCACCAATTACCACACCTCCATCTCAAATTCCAAGCCTCTTCACCAAAAGATAAAGTGCTAATATGAATCATAAGTTTGATACCATATCAATCCCTTACACTACCTTCCAATCCTGATTTGTCACTCAACTGCATAGCACACGTAAGTATTTGAGCTCTTCAGCACAATTTACAAAACATTCTTCACATGACATTGAAGGGCTTGGCAACAATCAGTGAATCACCACAACAAATTCCCATATACCAAAAGCTCACTACAGTACAGAAAAAGCATACCACAATGGCCTTCTGAGGGCCAGATTTTGCTCCATTGCAGTGAAATGTTGATAGGATCAAAATCAAACAATAAAATCCTAAATATACAGTGGTATTATGTCAAAAATTGATGAGAAAGTGAACCAAGAAAGAAAAAATAAAACCAAAAGAGAGTGATAGTAGTAAAAAACATACAAAACTACAAGATGAAGGGAGGAGAAAATATGGCAAAAACCGAAACATTGCGGTGAGCAGGATCTCTCAAATAAGCAAAAAAACAAAACAAAAAATCTGTAGGCATGTTTTAGTCAAAGTTGTGTTTTTATTGGTTATGTTAAATGGTAAACAGTTATTTTATGATCAATTATACATTACCTTCATTAGGGAGTATCTCATACAAGATGCTGTAGATGATATGAACCCAAATCCAGGACACTTGTCCGTTTGATACAATCCGGACTGCGCAGGAGCAAATTTTGCTTTTAAGTTTTTTTTTCCTCTTGAACAAATTCAGTGCATGCAATATTTTTCAATTGGTAAGCTGTAAAAAGTAGCATAAAAGTACAGCAAGTTGTCTGGATTGCTGTACTTTTACACATATATACAGTTTTATGAATTTGGGACACCTAAGAAGGTGTCCAGGATTTTTGAATTTTATGTTATATTTCACAGTGTTGGACAGCTTGTTGGACTATAAAATACTGTAAAAGTTTTGACTTGAAACACCCTATTATCAAAATCATTCACAAATTCATTGTACAATTTAATACAGGTAGTAAGAAATCAAGAAAAAGTTGAAAAATCATTAAAATAGTAAAAATAGTAAGATTTGATTAATGATATGGTATTGAATTTGGTATTGGTGAGAAAGCAAATTTAGTATTTATTCAAAACAATAAAACATGTTATGAAAGGAATGAAAGAATAAGCTTGAAATATTGAGAATTGGGGAAAAAGTAAAAAATATAGGTGCAATAAGTTGGAAAATGGGTTTTGGGTTACTTATAGTTGATTTGATGGTTCAAGAAGATCAAACTATACAACAGGAGGCCTATATTAGTCAGCAAAATAATTGATAATGAGGATTGAGAAGGTATGGGTGAAATTATTCAAGAAAGAGGGAAATTTGATAGTGGTAAACAAGGGTACTATGGCTATTATTCATCTTTAAGTGTTAATTAGAGGGATATTAGGTTTTCCAAGAGTTTTAGATTTACTTTAGAGTTATTCTCAAGAAGAGGTTGATCTACAATGATGATATGATGGAAAGAGATTAGTAATTGGAGCAAAAGGGGGTGAAAATTGTTGGAATTGGAGGTTTTCAGCTAATTACATATGTCAAAACTTGGTAGATCAGGGCAAGGAAGGGGTCAATTGATGAAGAATGTTTTACTTCATAATGTGGAGCCTTTTCAATAAATATTAATGGAGGAGTTGTGAAATATTCATAAGCAAACAAAGAGAATGGTGTGGATTTTGACTTTTGTGCTTAGATATCCATTTGATATCCAATTCATAACAAATCCAAAACATTCTCAAGTTTCTGGGGTGCACTGGCCTGCCAGCGGCTTGTGATTGGGGACTGTATATAGAGGTTCTGTTGGTATTTTGGTGTCCCCATGTTTCCATTGGGTAATGAAGTCCTTGCTTTTGTCATCTGGCAGATGTCACATGACTTCAGCATGAATTTGACTTCCTTGCTCATCCAGGGCCAAAAAAAACTAGTCGAAGGCTTGAGACGGTATTCAGGAGTCATAGGTGTTTATGTGCTTCATCAATAAGATTGATCTGCAAGCCTTCACCGTTGGGCATCAAGAGTCTTCCATCAATGAAGATCAGCCCATTGACCACAGAACAGTCATTGCAAACAGTGGTGCAAAACTTATCAAATTTGTATCACATGTCAATGTTGAGATTCGCTCAAAAGACTGGTTTGTGACAATGCTAGCACAGCTATTGTCTTGACTCCCATTTTGACATCATCAGTGTCCTTCCTGGATAAGGTTTCAGCAACTGAGTCGTCCTTGCCTTGGATGTACTGGAGCTCTAGATCAAAGTTGGCTAGTTGTTCAAGCCAACAAGTCTGACATCTGCTGAGTGATTGTTGTTTTGAAAGGTAAGTTAGTATAATGATCACTCATCTCATTAAACTTCATGCCCAAAAGTCGCATCTGCCAATTCTGTAGTGCATGGTATGGATAACTGCCAGCAATTCCTGTTCATGCACAGGATAGTTGTGTTCATCTGTTGTCATTTGTCTGGATTCATACACTATTGGGCTTGCTCCTTTCCATTCCTTTCCTCAGAATAATGCTACTCCTAAGCCTGTACTGCTAGCATCAATTTGATAACATGCATCCACAGCAGACTTTTCAAAGGTTAAATTTGAAGGTGAAATTGTCAAAATTGATGAAATTTACAAAGTCTTTCACAGGTCCCAAAAACCAAAGCCTGCATAGGGACTTACATCAAATTTGATCTTCCTGGTGTGAGAGGTCAGGTGGTGGGCACAGCATGTTTGGTGTGTCGAAAGGCACACCTGCCCAGGCTCACCAGGCACACCAAAAATTTCTAGAACCAGGGGGTGGTGCACCCATACCCAATACTTGGATAATCTGAAGTGTATAGTTGGAGAAGTTAAGACTGTGTAAATGTCCAACCAATCTAAAAAAACCATTCCCAGCCGCAAAACTCATCACTTTGAGGAGCCAATGAGTGCTGCGGATCCCAGCCAATCTGGACCATCTTCCTATTCCTTTTTTGAATGTTTCATCTCAAAATTGAACAGAAATGATACTGAAAGAAAAATAGAAAATGAACTCACTCCTAAGATTTTCATTGGTCAGGGGCCTAGAGCACAGTGCTGGAATGCCAAGAAGACTTTCACAAAAGGAATATGCAGATGGCCCAGATTGGCCCGGCTCCACACTGATCAGCTCCTCAAAGTGATGAGTGTGGCATCTGGGAATGGTTTTTAGATCAGTTGGACATTTATACAGTCTTGACTTCTCTAAATATAGAAGGTCTTCTTGCGCCTACTCTTGCGCCAGAGGAAGCCTATTACATTGTCATTTTGGTCTGTGTAACTTCCAAGCTGGAAAAATTTCTACAGATGAGCCCCACTCAGAATATTTCTGTGATCAATTGCTCATCTGAGTCGCAGAACCCTTTATAAAGCTAACTTAACTAAGTCCCTTCTCCTCGCAGGCGTCCTCCGGAGCCTGCGGAGGAGGGACTTACGACTTATCAGGACTTTTCAGCCTGATTAGATCACCAAATTCCACTTTTTCATCATTTTGGAGCTGCATCCAACTTATCACATCGACCATCCACTCCTTGAGAAATTTAAATTGACCAAAAGATTCTCACACATCTTGTACACAGACTCACAAAAACCAACACATAGGTTAATAGGAAGTTCTTCCTCCTATCAGAAGAATAAGAAGTGTAACATTTCTTGAGCTCAATTGAACAACTGTGGAGGCCGTTGGAGCCAAGAGAGGCCAAAAACGTTTTGGACCACACAAAAAGAGAGAGAAGAGAGAGTCCAAAATTGGAGTTAACTCATATACAGTAATTTTGCAGCAAGAAATAAAAAAAATATAAATAAAAATCATCTTTTGAAAATAACTTGAGGTCCTTTGGACCATTGGCTTTGAAACCTCTTCAGAAGAATCTGAAGAGGCCAAAAGATGGGGAGGACTATGTTCTATAACTTGCCCAAAGGACTTTGAGGGATCATTTTGTGTAACACAGTGTAATAGAGGATCCAAGATAGCCCCTGCCAAATCCAAATCTAATCAGGCTGAAAAGTCCTGATATGTTGTAAGTCCCTCCTCCGCAGGCTCCGGAGGACGCCTGCGAGGAGGAGGGACTTAGTTAAGTTACAGCCGTTGTAAGATCTATCACCAGATTTTTAGATATTGTGTTGCCGGATTTAATGTAGAGGTCAAAAACTTCAAAAAACCCTTTTGAGACTGATAACTCTACTGCCCATTGGTCAGATCTAGCACAAGAACAATTGAGTTACTCTCAAAGTGACATAAGTTTCGAGTTTTTGACTTCAAAAGTTAAATCTGGCGACGACACAACTTTTCAAAAATCTGCCAGTAGATCTTACAACGGCTGTAGTTCATAAAGTAGTTCTTGAACAAAAATGTTCTCTGATTGTTATCTCAAAGATGTGGTTATGCTGACTTGAAACAGCTTGTCTCACATCCCCATTTGTGTTTGAGCTTCATCACAGCCTTGATTGCTGTTCTCAAGAAGATTTTTTCATGTTTTTCATGTTTTTCACGTTTTTTTGCTCAAAAGGCGTACCCACACGCCCCCTGCTATTGGGGCGCGTCCCAGAAAAAGGATTCAGCGCTTGGGCGCGCCTCTCTCTGTCAAGTCTGAGCCCTGGTGGGCACCTGCTGGTGGATCGGATCTGCTCAATGGCTGCAGCCTGCGCATATACGGAACAGCCAGAATCTGGATTTTGAACCACAGCCTCACAGGAGCTCACAGGTATACCAATAAAACATCGATCCAGTGGATCGAAACTTGGACGAGATCCGCAGACCGCATTGGATTCCGCTGTCAGTAGCGGAAGTGCCGACTGTTCCCGAATCCCCTTCGTCTGCGGAAGGGTCAGATTGGACAATCCTGCCTTCCACACATCTCTTGGAAAGCGTATTTCTCGGCCATGCAATACTGGTGGCCAAACCACGCAGCTTGAAAGTGTTAAGTCACGCAGGTTCAGGGGAGCGTTCAGCACTGTCTCTCGCTGGCAAGGAAAAAAATCCGTGCTGTCGCTCTCACGGATTTTCTAACTTCTTTGCATCATTCCAGGAGGATATCAGACTACGCAGAGAAACCAAGATTCAAGTACGACCAAAATACGTATGCAGGCACAGCAGCGACCTTTTTGATTGCCTTCGTTTGCACTCCTTCCATCCAGAGTCAGGAACTGGAACCCACACCCTCAGGCAACATCCCATCGGGGGGCAAAATTCAACCCTAATCACTGATCTCTGATTCAAGTCACACATAGGCATCTCGTCACCTCAAGCTGACACGTACAACCATTTCGATGCAATTCTTCATCACTTCAACTATTCTGCTAACGTTCCTGGAATTAATCACCGCTGAATTAATCACAGTCCTTCAACCGCACGAAAGCACAGTCAGAGGTCTTTCGGCTCAAACACGGGAGGTAAAACCTTCTCCGCCAATATCCGACAAGGCAAAAATTCACCCGAAATCAAGAGCAAGAGAAAATGTAGTCATATTAGATGTTCAGACTCCTGAAACCCCCACAACTCCATGTGAACGTACCACATTTCGAGTCTCCAGAGAGGATATGACGGGCGGGTCTTCCAAGAGTTCAGAACGCAGAATTAAACCCACCAAAGCAAAAATCCCACAGAAATTTGAGGGGCAAGTGAAGAAAGGGACAAATAGTATGCCACCCAAGATAGGCCAAGTATCATTCCGAACCAGATGGTCGGGACTCATGGCCTCCATCGGCTCCACCAAGACCTTTATTGCAAAACAAGTAAGTGAATTTTGGACAAAAGTCAAAGAGTTCTTTGTAGGGAACGGAGTCAAGGAGTCTAGTGGTAAGTGAATGCACATCCTTGGTATATAGCATTGAATAACCGAATTATTCCAACTTGAGATAAAATTTCAATCCCTTTTTGTCAACCTCGCTTCCATCAAACTACAGGTTTGTGACCATTGATTCCTTTCTCTCGAGTAATATGTCTGAAACAATCTGATAGACTGAACCATTGTTTTGTGTTACTTGAGGTAGGTCCCGAAATCAAATATGGTGAGTATTTTGTCTTTCTTCGAACTTCACCTCTTGACTGACGCCCCGATCATCCGATCATTTGACGAAACCTCTGTGTGATTCGACTAGCAAGTAAGACCCCCGAAGAACTCTCTAAGATGGTTTGAGACGTGACTGACATTGTTTTTGACATGAACCAGATCCGAAGGAAAAAGAGGAGCGCGAGGCCATCGTCAAAGAACTAAAGGCGCTAACTCCCGAAGGGGAGGCGCCCAAAGATTGGCTCAAAGGACTAGATGATCGCCTCGCAAATCTACCAGATATCACCGCGCTTCCGGATGACTCTGATCAAGCAAATGAGACACTTAATTTACTTCATGTCCTTCTTCCGATCCTTAGTAAACCAGAATTGACACAAAGACAAAGGAAAGTTATCTTAGACTGTATCAATCATCTCACAAGATATAATGGATTAGGCAAAGACTGTGTGACTAGAGCCGCTAAGAGATATTCTGACGCCTTCAAAGCACTGGCTTTGTCCATTAGCTCTGTACGATCTGATGGGAGACCAAGCAATGCTGTTAAAGGATCTTTTGAAGCAGATTGGCTCTCTAGTAGGTGATTTTGATTCCTTTCTCTCAGTAACTTTGATTCTCGAAGTGGCTCTGATGATCTGCACGTTTTATACTTGACTACCGTCATACGATAACTTTGGATGATAGACTCAAGTGTTGCAGAGAGATATCACCGCATCTTATTAGTCCGAGAACAGCCTGAGGACTTGCTCCCACGCGTAAAGAAGCTCGCGCGAGGTTTGGAAAAAGTTAAGGACGTCACGATATGGAACCACCCAGATGGAACACCGAGCGATTTGCAGATAATATTAAAGCAGGCCCTTGGACTCTTCAAGCAGCAATGGGACCATGATCAAAGACTCTACTTGGATGAGATAATCCAATACATCAGCAGAGTCAACACAGAGGCCTTTGATACTCTGGTTACACGCTTAACGCAGGATGATGAATACGTAGACGCAATGCTATCCACCTGGGTTCAAGAGCACGGTGATGATATATTTGAGACTCTGCACGAGGGTTCCATCTACATCGATCTTCTGTCAGGTTTGCCTAATTTTATCCTGGCGTATTTTCTGTTTTACGCTACTTATCAGAGGTATTCCTGTATTAGATGAACGGGCGGGTGCAACCTTGGATCGAAAGCTACTGGATTTAGTCATTCCATCAGATCGAGTCCTCCCAAGGATCAAAAGTCTGAAAGAGGATATCATCAGGTCTCAAACGATGAGGCATGACGATAACTCAGACCCGAGGCAACTACTCAGTCTGTCAAATCTTCTCCGAAGAGCGATATTTGGACTGATAGAATCTCAGAAAGAGCAACGTTTGGACATGGAATACGACCAATTATGCTATCTGAAGATGATTGCCTACCTCGAAAGACGGAGACCAGGATTGAAATACGAAATCTACCGATATCTTGACAGCGAACCAGATTTCTTACCAATTCTATCGCATTTCTTTGCTAACAAGTTAGACTATGAAATGGATGACATGCAAGAATATTCGTGGTGTTCCAGGATCTTAAAGGGTAAGTGGTCAATTCATCTTGGACTTTTAATGATTTTCTCAATGTCATTTTTGTACCATCTGTCGTTCCAGAAACCCGTTATGAAGAATTGATCCTACGCCAAAAGTTAATCTCAAGAAATTGGACACCACACGAAAATCGGTCGCATCGCACATTGATATGGGTGAAGGAGCTTCCAAGAGATTGGTGGAAACCTCTTCACTCAGATCTTCAGACTAAGAAGATTCTCGACTCAGTATTGGATACTCTAAACGCTCCTCCAAGAAAATTCTCTGAAGATTCAGGAGTTAAGGAAGCTCTTGAAGTACTGTGGCATCTTTTACGATTCAAGCCAAGCTTGAGAGAAAATGTCTACACATCCATACACAAAGAATCAAACTTCTGGTTACGATATCAGCTTCGAAATCACGTGAGAGAGAAGCTTATCAAGCTGGAGGGTAAAGCAGTTGTCTTCGATTCCAAATCTGGAACTTCCATTGATCTCTTTCAATGGTTTTCAAAAAGTGAGAATTGAGACTTGTTTTGATGAAAACATTCCAATTTTTGATTATCTTTGCATTTTGATTTCAGTCAAAATTTTGCAAGAAGATGAGCCAGAGCCCGAGTCATGGATTCAAAAGACTGGTTCACTCGCCGCCGTATGCGCAAAAACATCTGCGAAGATTGGCTTTGCAGGCATTCAAAAGACTAGTTCACTCGCAGCCGCATGCGCGAAAGAAGCTGCAAAGATTCGCTTTGCAGGCATTCAAAAAGCCATTGAAGCTGTTACTAAAGTGTGCGGGGGTTGAAAGTTTAGAAAACAAGTGTTTTCATCCTTTGGTAAATGTGGCAGTGTCTTTGTATGAAGGGAAGCTATGAAGGCGTCTATAAGTTTAATAATGATTGAGTCTGGAAGCATGTCTTCTCTCAACTTCTTCTCAGTTTGTTATCTCAAAAGCATCAGAGGGTACTCTGTGTAGCAATATCAATAAGTAAGTAGAAAGAATAAACTCATTCGCATTGAATTTTAGAATATATCCTCAAACAGTTTAGTTTCTTGGGATAACAAAGCAATTGTGGAATAATCGTGTTCAGAGAAGAATTGATAGGAAAAACTGTGACCTTCACTCATTGTTTGCTCACTGAAGCCCATAGTAGTCTTTGACCCAGGCTGAACATATATCATATACCACAAGTAGATTATAGTTATATACCCAACATTCTACTCATGTATTTTTGCTAAAAAAATAATCACATTGCTATATCTCTTTTTCTCTCTCTTTGCATTTTGAAAAGACTTGCATGCACCAAATTCTGTGTCTATATCAATGAGCAGCTTCAGATGATACGTAGCTGAAACAAAATCAGAGTCTTTGTAACATTGGAGCGATAAAGTCTGGCATCGCCATTAATCTCTGGTGGCCAGATAGCAGAAGGCATCTGTTAATTTTTGTCAGGGCAGGACTCAGGTTGATTATCGCTTCAAGCTTGCAATCCACGCCTTTCAGCTTTAGGGAATTATCCTCATCCATAGAAAACAATACAAAAGAAGGACTTCATGACATACACTTTGAAGTGAAAGCCCAAGTGGGTCTTACCATTGAAACAAAAGGTATACTATGGTTTTCATCTAAATATGAACCCAAAACCCATTATCTTACAGTGACTTTGACAATCTTTTTCTCCATTTACGTGGCAACAGGCCATTCAAGTTTATCGCCGTAGTAATCTGGGTAACGAAACAGGCATCAATCAAATCTTTTCAATTGAGAGTCAAAGCTCATGCAGAAATCAGCGGCTTGAACACGTACAATGTACAGCTTTGGTAGTGAGATAGTTTTCAAGCCCATCCATACCCAACTCACGCCCCCATCCAGATTGCTTATAACCTTTTGGTGGTTCAATCAGTTGGGATTTCAGATAGTGGAATAGTAATAGTTTGAATATTGTACCAGCTGTTGAAACAGGAGAAGAAAAACTGACCTCCAAAGGGAACTTGGCTATTCAGCATTACGTATTGGTTGACCCATACAGTTCCTGCCTTAAGCTTTCGAGAAATACGGTGAACTTGTTGAATATCTACATTCTCTCGAACAAAATATCAACCAAGAAGGCTTATTCTATCGATTGATTAAGTCAAAATGGACCTCACCAGAGGAATGGATCCCAGATGCGAGGCCGTATTCTGTGGAGTTAGCAAGCTCTACGGCCTCCTCTTCCGTTTTAAACCGAAGTACAGCTGCAACTGGACCAAAAATTTCCTCCTTTGCAATTCGCATTGACGGTTTCACGTCAATAAAAACTGTAGGTTGGATGAAATACCCAAGGGATCCATGCCTTTCACCCCCAGTCGCCACCCGTGCACCTTCTTGCTTACCAATGCTGATGTATTCCATTATACGGTCAAACTGACATTGACACGAGGAAGAAATTCATCCATTTCGAAACCAGTATCATCAATGTGCTGGTTTAAGCTTGGAACATAGTTATGCATACATGTGATTCCTTACTTGTTTCTTGCTAACTTGAGGTCCTTGGAAAGTCTTCGAGTTGAGGGGATCTCCAACGTGATAAGCTTCAGTAGCTTTAACAAATAATTCAAGAAATTTGTCATAGATTGAATCTTGAACCACTTTTTGTTTCGGAAAGTATGATTTTATTTGAATGAGTCAAGAAATAGAGTCCATTCCAAGACAAAATTTGAAAATACTCAACAGATCCGGCTTCCTGCGGTGCATGTCTGACCCGCATTCTCGAAGACTCCAAAGGCAGCCCACCTTATATACGAGGAAAAATTTAAAAAAATCACCAAAACAATCATTATTAGTCCCAGTAGTAAAAACTTTGATGCGTATCAAAGCCCAGCAAATAGGAAGACGCTTAACTTGGCAGCTTCCTCGAGATCAGCTTTTTCAAAGATAATATTAGGCGATTTCCCACCCAGTTCTAACGACACCTGCGTTGTCAGACCCGGAGAACAGCAACTAGCGAGTCAAATTCTTGATTCAAGTCGAATCTTCTCGAAGTGAACTCACTTTTTTCAAATTGCTCTCTAAGCTCTTTTGACCGATTTGTCTACCAACAGCAGTTGATCCAGTAAAAGCTATCTTGTCAATATCAGGATGTGAAGATAGATAAGTTCCGGTCAAAGGACCTGTGCCGTTGACCAAGTTGAATACACCAGCGGGGTAACCGGCTTTGGGGAAGAGAGATGCTATCTTCAATGCTGATAATGGGGTTACCTCAGATGGCTTGAAGACAATTGTACAGCCTGAAGCAAGGGCCGGTGCAATTTTCCATGCCATCATCTGAGTATTGGTTGATGTCAGAGTCAGCGTGAGAGAAGAGTAAGCTTGTGGACAAAACTGACCATAATTGGATAATTCTGAGTCGTTTCGGTATGGAACGGAAGCATTGAAATGGTTTTTGTTAGACAAGATCATCTCTCAATGTTTCTTCAACACTTGAAATTGCTGATAAGAGACGCCATCTTACCCATGGCACTATCTGTGCACAGACTTGAGGGAGGGAGTAAAAAACAACATCAGGGTCTGTCTTTTAAGTTCCAGAAGCTGAGTGTACAGGGCCCTTACCTCCGATTGGTTCCTTACGAGTCACTGCGTACTTGCTCGGATCGTCGACTTCTATTGACGCTCCATGAATCTTATCAGCGGCACCTACAGCGTTTATATAAATCAAGTCAGTTTTCAAAGCCCATACTCCCAACCTTGAAGGTAAAATTATCAGCACAAACCAGCGTAATAACGTAGGCAGCCGATCGAATCATCAATATCGAACTTGCACCATTCAATGGGTTTTCCAGCATTGAGAGATTCAATCAAAGCCAGCTCGTCTTTGATTGATTCTATCTCATCAGCCAGCTTATGAAGCAATCTACCACGCTCAGCCCCTGTGACGTTAGTACCCCAAGTGCTTTCGAAACATTCTCGTGCGCTCTTAACAGCGTCTTGAACATCATCAGCCGTAGCCGTATCGACCTGATTGTGTTTAAATTGGTAATATTTTGCAATCCTTGATCAGTCTTTTCCATAAGAGAAATTTCAACTGTGTGCCCACGTTCCACTGACCGAAACTATGTGTTCCTCAGTAGCAGGGTTAATAGTCGAAAGCTTCTCTCCCCTCCCGTGAACAAACTTTCCGTTGATGAATAACAGGGTGTTCAAAGAAACCGTTTTATTGTTCACCGTGTGCAGCTCGTCAGATTCAGACATCTTTGCTATTTGAACGCGGTAGATCGATATGCAAGTACAAAAGTTCTGGCTGGTTCACGAAGGCTGCAGGATCAGGTAGAAGAGGGATGATCCAAATCAAGTCTTTGATGAGAGTAAGGTCTACAAAAGTCTTGACTCTTATCTACGTAGGTTGATTGGGTAAAACCTTGTGTATCATATTCTTCCCCACTTTACTTCTTATTGAAGGGTGAGTGGGGATAGGCAAGGTTGAAACCATTCACAGCAACTCACCTTGAAAATTGCATGTCAGTTGAAGGCACCTAATTTACGAAAGATTGACCAAAGCTGCCCGCAAAACTCAACTCTAGCAAATTGGCGGGGAATTTGGGCCAAGCTTTTCTGAATTGACTGTAAGACATCCAGCCAAGATTTCTCGTCATTCTACGGAAGCCTTGACGCGAGACCCGTCCCTCTACCTCGCAAACACTCGGGCACGCTTTCGAAGTCAAAAACTCAAAATTATTTCACTTCCGCACTGAACTCTATTGTCCTTGCGCTAGATTGGGCAAATGGACAGTAGAGGTACCGATCTCAAAAGGGCTTTTTCAAGTTTTTGACCTCTGCATTAAATCTGGCGACAACACAATGATCTCAAAATCTGCCAATAGATCTTGTAACCGCTGTGAGCCCATGCTCAACGTAAGAAAGCCGTGACGTCAACGTGTAGTGTCCGCCACACAAATTGGCGATTTTGTGTTTTGTTGTTTTTTCTTTGTTTGTGTTTTGTCTTTGTTTTTTGAAATTTGAATTTCTCACTTTGGGCTGGGCCATCTCATCAAAGTCAACACACCATGATTGTTTGGTAATTACCAGCATATTTGTCCATATTTTTCAAAATGCCTTTGTCTTGACTTCTTGGTCCTTGTTCAGAACCCCGATTGCAATGTTTTAATCCTAGAATGAGATGATTTAACACGGAAAAAGTGTGAATAAAATGAACAATTGTTGTACTCAGAAATGACTAAGGCCAAAAAGATACAAATTCAAATGATCATTCTACTCAGGATCTATCAGCATAAAAAAGTTGATAAACAAGACACATGCAAAATCATCATTTGGCTGGGGATCAATTATGACATAATAAGGTTGAATAAGATAAGGATAAGAAGGTCAATTAGATAAAACTTCAAATGTCATTAATTAAAATAAGAGGTTGAATAAGATAGACATTTGTTTCAACAATTCTCACAGTCAGAATCAAAAATATGAAGGTTGGATCACTGGGTGTTCAAGATCAGATTGAGAGAACTTGGCTGACACCACAGGAATCATTAAATGTGAACCACAATTGAGCAAAGTTGCAGTGACTAGGTCCACAACTTTCTTCAATCACAGGGTGTGTTTTCCCCAGGTGTGCCATAGGTTTGCTAGCTTGCCTTAAGTTGCCCTTGAGTTGTTCACTACATATGTAGTAACTGCAGTACCACATATGTAGTGAAACTCATGGTGATAAAAACCCACAAGAAGTTGTAAAAGACATCTTTTGTTTCCAGGAGACCCAAGTAGTTGATCAGTGTGATATGCAAACGCAAAAGCACTTTATCAAAGTCAAAAATGAATAAATAAAACAACAAGGCGGCTCAAGGGAAGCTAGCAAGCCCATAGCAAACCTATGGCAAACAAGATCTGCACTTGAAGAAAGTCGTGGACTTGGTCACCATAACTTTGCTCAATTGGGGCTCACACCTGATAATTCCCGTCTTGTGAGAATTATCAATGTTGAAAAACAGAAATTGAGACAGTTGTAATGGCTGAGCTGGGTTGATGGGAAGAGCAAGGTTGTTTAGCGCTTTGTAATAATACAAAAAAACTTTGTTTTATGATTGATTTGTGTGTAACAAAGGAAAAGCAGCTGAAGTTTCTATTTGAGTAGACTTATCAAAGTTCCCCCTGCCCAAGTAGTCAAGCAGCAGAATCTTTAGCCATTATTTGTTTTTGACCATTATGAGGGTCACAGACCTCATACAATTGCACATCCGGCCACACATAGCTTCCTTAAAATCTTGTGCATCTCATCCTGCCGGTTTCAGATTGTCACTGCAGGTAGATTCACTGCTTTGTTGATTCTTGGACACCATGTTTTTTGGGTTTTAAGCACACCTTCACTGCCTGAATATTTGGCTTGGAGACGGATGTCCGAGGAGTCCTCGGATGGCACCCCCAAGGAAAAGGGAACCCAAGGGATGATTCTGAGGCAAATTCTGGCCCTGGCCATTGCCTCAGAATGGATCCTTGGATGGCGCTTCACTCGGAGTCAAAATCCGAGGACTTGTCGGATTTTTTGCTCCAAGCCAAATATGCTGGCTGTGCTTGGGGGGTCCTGTATTGAATTGTTTGTTGCAGCTACAAGTTTTTTCAGCTCTTCTGAGTGAGTTTGATGAAGAAAATGTGTGCTGACAAATACACAAGGACATGTAGAAGTCATAAGAGAAGACCCCTTGTGTTACAAGCATCATTTTATGAGGTCTGTGACCCTCATAATGGATGATCAAGAAGAAAAAGCTTGAAAATCCTGCTGTTGTGATTCGCAAAGTAGAACTTTAGCCACAAGTCCCTCCCTCAACCACTCTGATATGGAATTTGAAATTCAGGAAAAAAAGACACCAAAAATTGGGTGGCAGACACCTTGTGTCATGGCTTCTGTATCATCCCCATCCTTTGCTTTGTTTGATTATTCCTCTCAACATGATGAGCTCAGATGATAATAGAAAAGGATTATGTACCCAACAGGAGGACAGACCTTTGTTCATGCACTTGTTTTGACTACCTTTCACAGCCTGTGGATCCTCAAACCAATCAAATAATTCATACACTACAAACAGCTACAAACATTATGGAATTTGAAAGAACCCAACCATATCATGTAAAGATGAATGAAATCATATGTGTGCAAGGATTACAAATCATGGCTTTAATCAAGAGAGAAATTTTGGGAAGCAGCTTTGGAAGATTTTTTGTCACTTTTGACGTCTCTGGAGTCTGAAAGTCTTGATGCAAGACATTGATCAAAGTTGGTACAATGGGTAAACCTGAGTACAGTCAAACCTGCACAAATGCATGAATTGAGGCTCCCAGATTTTGCTGTGCCTCGTGAGTATTTATTCAATTTGCAATAATGCATAGATTTATCCCTTATGACCAATATGCATATATATATGCAGTATGACCAGTTTTTTCAAGAAGGAAATTTGAGACAAGTTGAGAATGCATAGTTTTATGCATTATGACCAGCATTTTGATGGACCTTTTCCTTCATATACCCAACATGGCCAGCCCCAGGGATTTCTGCATTTTGCCCACCAACATCCAGTTTTTTTCTTGTAAACCCTATGCAATCATTTGAACATGGTGTAACCCCGGCCCTATTCAAAATGGCTGATTATGCATCTACATGGCTATGCATTTGTGCAGGTTTGACTGTATGTGTTTCAAGCCCACCCCACATAGAGTATTGGTTTTGAGGAATTTTCCCAGTTTTTTTTGCTTGTTTTGGTGGGTGAGTAGGGTTTAGGGGTGGTGCTAGAGTGTAAATTCTTTGGAGTTTATCTGCCGCTTGAGTCATATATAGATATTTATAGCATTTACATATATTGCATTAGTGCCTCACACATTGCTCTTGTGGACTGTTAGCTCTGTCTCAGTCTGGTCTCTCTTCAATTTGGATCTGTCAGAGCTTCCATCTGACAACATTTGATAATTCTTACACAATTTGAAGATGCAAAAAAGGGTTTTGAAGTTGCTTGCAAGAGTTTCCCACTATCAACAATTTGGAAGTATTTCTGCATGATTGACCCTCAGCGGTTGGCATATGAGTAAGTGGTCTCCCTATCTCTTTCCCAACTCTTTGTCACATTTTTCTTGTTTACCAATGAGCTTTTTCTTGAGCAGGCAATTGAGGCTATGTTGATCCTGATTCTTTGAAGATGGTATATAAGTACTTGTCACATTGTTGCATCCTAATAAATGCTGCAATGTGAAATGGTCTTATTTATGGGTTATCTTCTTTACCTTTAAATTTTTATTGCTCAATTATCAAGGTCTTGGTTCATGTAAGGATGTTTGAAAGAAAAATTGCTGAGCACAAAGCTCACCCTTAAGTCCTCAAGTATCACCCCCCACTGCTTGAATACCTCCTAGTGTAGGCCTATAGATAGGTGCTTATACCTGGTGCCTAGCTAAATACCTAGCCAAGTACTTAACGCCTGGGTCCGAAAATCAGGTCCCCTAAAAAATGAACTTATATTTCTTGTCTCCAAGTTGTACATCATGCTCCAAGATTCAACAAAGTATTGTCTTTCCACTGGTCTGGATGTCAGTCCCAAACCTTCAGATTGAGTGCCCCATCTTTGGCCCAAAAGGTGAAAGTTTGATTTTGCAGGGCTGGTGGGAAGGAAGTTTGGTGGGAAGGGATCTGGGTGGGAACCCGTTTACATCAACAAGCGGACCAGTGAGCGTAACCTATGAAACTTTTCCTAATGTGACAAATTAAAATTGAAGATTAGTGAGTCTTTCAACGGGTAATCCAGTGGCAAAAAGATTCTACAAAACATTTGTAAAGTCACAAAGGAGATAAAGTGACATGATTTTCAACCTATCTCTCGTCAATCTGGTATATCTGGCAACTTCCTCAGCCGGGCAGGGATCTTTGAGATATGGGCTCGGTTGAGCTTTGAGCGCCTGCTCTTCATCATGATCCCGCAATTTTGCTTGAGTTCGAGTTCGAAATTGTTCTCATGTGCTATTATTTACAAGGGAATATCGTTGGTCAAAGCGGCTTAAACTGATGGAATCCGATCAAGATTATTGAGAACTGTAGTTTTTGATAATGTATTTGATGATATGTCATGGTTTACCACTGAGTGAGAGTGAACTTCTGGAGTGACTCTGACCACCTTCATCGAGTATCGAGTATCGATCATCAAGCTATTGGTTGACTATCATCTCATTACCAGCAATCAGATTTCCCATTGGACATTTTACCGCAACTTCGAACCGTTCTTATCATCTGAAACAGTCTCGTCTCAATCGAATTGGTTAACCCGTATTTGGAACAGTTTCAACTAAACCCAAAGATGGATTCACTCGACTTGAATGTTCATTCTGCTATTCTCATCTCACTTGCACAGTCTTATGCGGTTTCCACACCAGAACCAGAGGAACCTACTCCAATCATTTCTAAGCTTCCTATCTTACCTTCTAATCTTCGTTCAAAGCTTCAACCTCATCTCAACGGCTCCCCCGCTCCTCTTTCGACCTCTACTTCATCAGCTGAGGCCTCTCTCAATGACGAAATCAAGGTTTCCAATTCACAGGCACATCATGTCATTGCATACGCAGCTTATGTATCTCAATCAGCTTCTAGTAATTTCAAACTTGGTACGATCGCTCTCGAAAGACTCACAGATTTGATCGGTGGTCTAGTCAACTGGTCTGTCGAGTTAAGTTTGAGTGCAGAACATGCCGCTGAATGGCCTCTTGTCGACGAGCTCACCTATCGTCTAGTAGTCGCCACTCTTGAAATTGGAGTATTGTATGACCCTGATCAGCAAAATAAGCTCTTGACCGCTCTTGGTGGTATGCTAGAAGGTACAATGCTAGGAATTCAATTCGGCTCACAAGCTCGAGTTATAACTCACTATCTACCTGTTCTCTCTGGATCGAGACGAGCTATTACCTCGACCCCATTTCCATTCACGCCAGAACAATTCCAAATTTTGTTTCAATCAATCTCAACATCACGCCTCATCTTTCCAGCAGAAGGTCTAACTTCGACCTTGACGGGCCTTTCTGATCCCCATTCCATCATGGGACGACAAGTAGATGGAATCACTGCTAGATATGAGTTGGTCGGCCGTCCCTTGAGTCCGAATATGGCGGTACAAGCTGGCTTAGAATTATGCCGTGTCGTGCTCCAACAATGTTTAATTTCACAAGATTGGCCTCCACCCGCTAGTAAATTTGAAGAAGAAGCAGTTAATTGCGGGTGGAACAAATTAACCCATTCGGCTAGTCAGCGCAAAGGCGAAGCATCTCAACTAAATATCTTAGACGAAGTAGGCAGTCGAGCTGCTTTGATGTTTCAAGAATATTGTGACCTTTATCGAGATAGTCCGGAGAATGACGAGTCAGACATTTGTTTGATGGAGATAGTTTGTGAAGCAATGAAGTTGGTCACGATTTGCTTCCTCGTTCGGGATAATGTCGATGCCAAAACGCTTGACCAAATCTTCCTATTGCATACAGAGGAAACGTTGATCATTCATCCTCTCATTCAAGCTACTGCCACGGACTCATTGATCATATTAGCTCGAAACTACCCTGATCTAGTCACTCGAATCAGTGACGCCCTACGTCTGTACATTGCTTCACCCTTACCTCCTCCGGACGATGTCCCAGACGAACATGATTTAGCACCTAGTTACGCAATCACCGCTGCTGCCCATGGTTTAGCTGTTTGTGTGGAACTGAATGACTCAAACGACTTTACCAAGGCAATCGCTCACGCGCTTCTCAATCACATCAATATTAGCGAGTCAGATATAGATTCCTCTGGGTCAAATCTCAATGCCAGTACAAATTCAATCGGTCGACAAGCGACGTACCTAGAGGCACAGAAGAAGCACAAGGCGGCATCCCCCGAAAGCCAGCAGCTCATCTCTATCAACTGCCTTCATGCTCTCGTGGCGTTGTTGAAGGAGATCGACCAAATCGAATTGACTTCTACTATCATATCTCTCCTCTTGCTCCGAATCAAGGGTGCTGCTCCTAATTTGGAAGCCGTTATTCTAGTAGGAGTTGCAGATTTGGCCCTTCACATCAATCAGCAAACTTTCAAGGAGTCGATCTCAACCTTTTCATCTATCAACAAAAACATATCTCTCGATGATACTGAAGTCGCCACAGACGCTGTCTTTCGGACAGGCATTTACAAAGCTCAAATTAAGCTCTCCAAGGCTCTCGTAGGCCGAGATGACCTTTGTGAGATTTACCTCGAGGAATTATTGACTCTATTTATTGAAAAGGGGCAACGTATCCAAACTACCCACGCCACTCTACCCACTTTTTCTCAATTGGTGAATCATCTGGGAGTTTTGATTCCAGCGATCGGCAACTTACTTCAATCAAAAAGCTCATACAATCCTCACCAAACCACATCGACCAAGACTTCTGAATTGTTCAGGAATTTTTGGTACATTTGTGTTTTATTTGGATTTCTTTCTTCGCCATCTTCCTCTCGAACTACGAGTGGGACTTCAGTGACACCTCCAGATTGGTTGATCGCAAGCTTACGTCAAATAGCTACAAAGTCACCTACATTGACTCATTTGACACCTATCGACTACGTCACTACTCAGCTGGATTACAATCCGATTTTGAAATTCCCTGAGCCGGCCACTGTGCTTTCACCATCAAAATTGGGTCGGAACCATCACCATGCGAATGCTCTTACCGCCAATCAATTAGCTGTTGAGCAAGAAAAGAAACAAGAGCTTGCTAATGTGATACCAAGTCATGCGGGACAAATCAAAGGTTTCACTTTTATTCAGACTATGTTCTTATTGACAGTGGCTAGACTGGAGATTTTCCGAGCTGAAGACTGTCGGGCATCTAATATGCTGGAGTACCTGAGGCACATTCATCCGGATGAAGTTGATGTCAACAATATTTTTGGATGTTTGGTCACAATTTCAGAGAAAGTAAGTTTTGGTTCACGGCTTCATCGCTCCTATACGCTTTCATGTGACTTAAAACATTGGCTTGGGGGTTTTTAGGTCCTATCTACATTCATTAGCTCTTTTCAGCAACAAGCCATCCGACATTCTGAAGTACCACATGTCTACCACCAGATTTCGGAGATTTTAAAGTTTACATGTCACCACTCGAGTAAGATCAGAGCGATTGCGCTACGATATTGTCAGGATCTCATTATTGCATTTCCCACTTTGTTGTGTAAATTCGAAACTGTTCGTGACATGTTGGAGATGTTAACCTTATTGCGATTATCTTGCGAAGGGGAATATGAAGATGAGGTGAGTCTTCTAAGATTAGCATCATTGTGTAATTATGAAGTGGCCAATGTATTGAACCATTTTTACCTTTTAGTATACGCCGGTTTATACTTTTCATTCAGCAAGCGCAAACTTGACGATCGAGCTCACAGATGATTATGCGGTACGACATGACACGTTGAATGATTTGAATAAAGCCATCATGTATTGGCTTTCGATAGTGATTGCCCGAGCGCCTCTTGAGATGCAGAGCATCTTTCAAAGATATTTAGATGCAGTTTCTTCTAATGATGCATTAAGATCGATTGGACAGGTGGAAATGGGAAAATCGGTAGCACTGGAGTTAGCCAAAACGCTTCCACCTACCTCAACCCTTTCACATTTCCCATCATGGGGTAATTGTAAAGCGGATTTAGCCAACGATCTTGCTAGATCTTTCTCAAGTCGAATGTTTTACAATGGTGAAGCTACACATCTGTCTTCTTTGCCTGAGGTAGAGTTTAAGTCTAGTCTTGCTGAAATCAAGAAGAATTTACATGAAATCAATGATCAAATCAATTCTGGATTGAAAAAGATGACGATTGAAGATTTGAGTAGTGTTCTTTATAAAGCTGGATCTCATGTTCTAGCCGATTCGAGACCTGATTTAGATTTACTTTTCCATATCGTTTCAATCCCGATCAAAGTTTTCAGTCCTTTATCAATCTCACTTGGACTTGAGCTTTGGACTTGGTTAATAGATGTTAAACCTGAGGTAGAAATCAAACTGATGACTGAAGTGATCAATATGTGGGCTTGGACCTTACGTAGACGCAAGGGACTCTTCTCTAGTGCTTGTGATTTGATCAATCCACTCAATCAATCGATCCAATTCACCCCAACTGATCGAGAAGAGATGAAACATCGACATAATACTGTTAAAAGGATGTTAAAACCACATCACATCCTTTTAGATTTTATTTTAAGTCGATTTCAAGCTGCAAGATATCGAAATCGAACCTTGGTTTTAATTACAATGAGACTTTTGAAAAATACGCTTTCGAATGTGAATCATTGGTCAACTCATCCACTTTCAAGAGAATTGCGGATCAGATTAATAATCTTTGGATTTAGTCTTTGTCAAGGTAGTAGAATGGAAGATAATGTTGAATTCAATTTAAGAGAAGTTTGTTATCTTGCTGGATTGGATTGGTTTAAATTAACACCTAGTTTTAATTTCGGTTCCAATCGATTACAACATGAATCTGAATTAAGATTGTTACAGGATCTATTGGCTATGGTGATAGTTGATAAACCTGTAAATGCTCATCATCTTAGTAGTCTTGATCCTGGTACTAAATTAAATCGATTACCAGGTTAATATGAAGTTTCTCATTTATGACTTTCGAAAAGGTTGTTTGTTGGATATTGAATATGGTTTTTTTTGGTTTGATGTAGGTCGAACTAGTGCTACGGTAGCTTCTTTACGTCATTCCGATCGAAATCATTTATTTCAACTTTTATTAGAGAATGAAATTATTCGATTAATGGCTTGGCAAAACCCATTAAGTGATGTGAAAAGAGGCAAAAATGTAGAACCTATAATTTCTAAAGCAACAGGAGAGGTAAAGCAAAATCTGAATTCATACGATTTTTTTCACTTTTATCTGTTTTCAAAGGGACAAAGCTGCTAAGTCATTTGATTTGATTTGGTTTTTCTTTATTATAGATTAGATGGAGACAAATTGTACAAACAGCTTGGTCAATCGATCCAGAATTGATGATTAGATTGATGGAAAGATTTAAGTATCCTTATATTGAATCAGAAGTCATTGCACTTGTGAAAAAGTTTCCAAGTCAAGCACGTAAAGTATCAGAAGCCTTGAGTTATTTTGTGGATGGATTTGATATGACTATTGCACCTAATTTACATGTAAGTGTTTTTTCAACTTTTTTTTCTTTTTCAAAGGATAAGATTTAATCGTTCCTTATGTTTTTTGGTGGGTCGGGGATGTATAGCATATATTGTATTGGAAAAAAACTCCAGTGGTGACTGCTCTTAGTTTTTTCTTACCTCAGTATGACAATGATCCAATCTTGTTACAATATGCTATGAGAGTTTTAGAAGAACATCCAGTAGAAGTGACATTCTTTTATATACCTCAAGTGGTACAAGCTTTAAGAACGGATGGATTAGGTTTGCGTTTTTTTCTCGATTTAGAAAGATATACTGTCAGAAGGAATTGATTTTGAGGGGTTTTTTGATTAGGGTATGTCGAACGATTTATATGTGAAACTGCTAGGGTTTCACAGTTGTTTTGTCATCAAATCATTTGGAATATGAAGGCTAATACACATAGAGGAGATGATGGAATCGAAGTAAGATTTTTGTTTTTACCCCTTTGTTTTCTTGACTCTTGGTCTTCTGTGATGGATCTTACTGAATTGATTATTGGTTTTTTTCGATATATATAGCCTGATCCATTGAAACCTGCATTAGATCGAATCATTGAAAAGATTGTAAATTCATTATCAGGTGAAGCAGAAGAGTTTTATAAAACTGAATTTTCATTTTTTGATGAGGTCACTGGGATTTCAAAAAGTTTAAGAGAATATTTAAAGAAAGATAAATCTGAGAAAAAGGTAAACAGATCATTCTCCTTTCTTAAAAGAATTGAAGTGATTTTGTTCTGATTGATGTTTTGGTGTTTGGGTTGTAAATCAGGCCAAGATTGCGGAAGAGTTGGCTAAGATTAAATTGGTTAAAGGGGTTTATTTGCCTAGTAACCCTGATGGCACTGTGGTTGATATTGATAGAGATTCGGGTAGACCACTTCAAAGTCATGCAAAGGTAAGTCAGAGTATCAAGAATATTGCTAGGTGAAGAATAATATTAACAGATGGATTTGTATGAATCGTGATTCTAGACACCATTTATGGCGACTTTCAAAGTTCATAGAGAAAAGAAGATCCATGTGGAGGATGAAAGTGATGAGATTACAGAGGGAACAGATGAAAAGAAAGGAGTCGATAGTTGGCAAGCTGCGATTTTCAAAGTGGGAGATGATTGTCGTCAAGATGTATTGGCTTTACAATTGATTGCGATTCATAAAACGATTTATGAGACGATGTGTTTGGATCTTCACCTTGTTCCTTATAGAGTGACAGCAACGGCCCCAGGTGTAAGAGACAAAGATTCCTTTTATTTTCTTTGGGGTTGGTATCGAAAGGTTTAATACTGACATCAGATTTGAATTTTCTCCAAAGTGTGGAGTGATTGATGTGATTCCAAATGCAACTTCCAGGGATGAGATGGGACGAGCAAAGATTAATGATTTACATTCATTTTATATTGGCAAATTCGGACCCAGTGAATCGGTTGAATATCAAAAAGCTCGAATGAATTTTATAAGATCAATGGCAGCCTATTCAGTGATGTGTTATATCATTCAAATCAAAGATCGACATAATGGGAACATCATGATAGATGGAGAAGGACATATTACTCATATCGATTTTGGATTTTTGTTTGATATTGGACCAGGAGGCATCAAATTTGAACCTAATTCGTTCAAGTTAACAGGAGAAATGATTGTTTTAATGGGAGGACAAAATTCAACTGGATTTAAATCGTTTCAAGAATTAGTGGTTAAAGCGTTTTTAATTGCAAGACCATTTGTGAAAGAGATTGTGATGTTAGTGAAATTGATGTCAGACAGTCAATTACCTTCATTTAAAGGTGAAGGAACGATGATTAGATTGATGGATAGGTTTAAACCTAATTTAAATGAAAGAGAAGCTTGTTTTCATATGCAAGGTGTGATTGGAAATGCTAAACAGAATGGACTTTCTTTATTATATGATGAGTAAGTGGTTTTCTTTGATCAGGACGATTGTTTTTTTGGGGGTTTGGGATTGATTTGAATGAGTTGATATTTTTTTTTGGTTTAGGTTTCAATGGATGACTAATGAGATTCCTTATACTCATAGAGATTGGATTGCTAGTGCAAAGTAGACTATTGATAGATTTTGAGGTTTTTCTTGTTTAAAAGGGTACAAGGTAGGAATATTAAGTCGATTGATTGATGGGATTTCTTATCTTTTCCTCTTTTCACTTTCACTTACTTTTGATCAATCTTTTTTTTGCTTTTAAGACTCTCTTTAATCAATTTTGTCAGTTTTATTTTTGAGAAATGCATTGATTGTTTATTTGTTTCAAAGAAACAATTTGTTTTAAAGATTTGTTTTATTTACATACATATTACTAATTGGGGTGAGTCAGAGTGTGGATTGGTTGATGGATGGTTTTGGACATATGACGAATTGGTTGAAAAGTGGTAAATTAAATTGGTACACAGTGGCGAAAGTCACCTCTCGACTACACTTTACTGCACATGTTCGAAATTTTGGCCGATTTTTAATGAATCGAAACGAAATCCATGCGCTGTGAAACCACGTACACTGAGCAGAAGTTTATATCTTGAGCAGAGTAGACTGTGGTGCGGGCATTCACAGTGGTTTCATTGTGCGGAATGCGTGCTGTTGTGTGTGAGTCGGCCGGGCGATGGTGATGGACCACGGAGTAACGACGAAGCCACGATACAGGAGATGAAGAGAGTGAAAATTAAAAAAATAAAAAATTAAATGATTAAATTGAAATTGAAATTTAGTTTAAATAAGGTTTCTTGACCGACTTGAAGATTTAATAAAATTTAATAACCATCATTCTGACTGCTGTTTACCGATTTCTCATTCTCATCATTCTCATCCTCAACTTGACTTCATTTCTCAATAGTTCCTTAAACCAACAATCAAACCAACTCATAATATGTTAGATTCGATTTGGTTATCAAGTTCATCATTATTATCAAATCAATCTTCATCAACTTCTTCTTCTTCATATCTTCAAGATCTAATCACTCCCAATCAAATCAAATTTCCAATTTATCATTTTCATCGTGAAGAAGTCATCCCGGGAATAGGTGATAATGTCTTATCATTCACAGTCCCATTAATCACTTATTGGGTAGTCTCAATCTTTTTTACTTTAATCGATTATCTTCAATTACCTTTCATTGAAAAGTATAGATTACATGAGCCAATTGAAGTTAGTTCTAGAAATCGAGTGACTCCTACTGAAGTCATTAAAGCTGTTCTTATTCAACAATTCATTCAAACGGCTTTAGCTATCTTGGTCTTAGATGAAACTGGATCTATCTTGAATCGTGACTATTTATCAGAAATGAAACCTTATGCTTTACCAGTAGCTACTTTGATTCGGATCATTCTGACTCCTAATCATGCTAAATGGGTCTTGACTCATTATGGTCGTGATATCACCCAATGGGCTTATTGGTGGGGTGTTCCTATCATTCAATATCTTTGGGCATCGTAAGTTTTATTTACAAGTTTTACTTTTTCTTCTTCATAATCACTTGAATTGATTTTGTTTACCTTTCTTCTTTGTAGATTCATTATGGACACTTGGCAATACTTTTGGCATCGAGCTTTCCATATCAACCAATTCTTATACAAACACATTCATTCAGTTCACCATCGATTATATTGTCCTTACTCATTTGGTGCACTTTATAATCATCCATTAGAAGGTTTTATTTTAGATACACTTGGTGCTTTGGTGGCTCATGCTGGTTCTGGAATGTCAATTAGACAAGCTACTGTTTTGTTTGGATTAAGTACTGCTAAAACTGTGGATGATCATTGTGGTTTGGCTTTACCTTGGGATCCTTTTCAACATCTCTTTGGTGAGTTTGCCTTCTTTTCCTATACTTGCTTTCTCTTCGTCTCTAAATCATTCTTCTGACTTTCTTTTCTTTTGTTTCTCGTGATAGGTAACAATGCAGATTATCATGATATTCATCATCAACAATTCGGAATCAAGAAAAACTTCTCACAACCTTATTTTGTTCATTGGGATGTTTTACTGGGTACCAGAATGACACGTAAAGAAGTTGAAGATCGATTTGGAAAGAAATCATCTTCATCTTCTTCAAGAGTTACATCGGTAGAAGTTCATACTGATGAACGTGATGATCATATGATTACTACTACTTCTTCGTCTCCTGCTTCTGATCTATTTGAATTTAAAGATGAATGAAACTTATCTTATGTTTACAAATGTTTTTAAAAAAAAGAAGTCTTTGTTATTCTCTATGGAATTGTCTTTTTTTTTTGTTTACAATGAGCTTTTTTAGTTTTTTGAATTTCTTTATTAGCATCATTTTTTTTTGTTTGATTGGCAGCGTATTTTCTTCTTTAGTTTTTTTTTATTTCGTTTGATTTGCTTTTTTTTGTATTATCTTATTTTCTTTTGATTTTGATTTTGCCTTTTTGCTCGTTATTGATAATTATATATTTTTCTTATGAACTTATCTTTTGTTTTTGTTTTTTTTGTTTTAAATCTACATGATGCAAAAAAAATGAATTCTCATACTATTGATTGTCCAAAAGTTGACTTTGAACGTTTTTTGTTTTTTTCTCGAAGAAGAAGACCCAAAAATAAGCAAACTCTCTCTGTTTTTTTTCTTTTGCTTCCTTTATTAGTATCTTTGTTTGTTTGTTTTGTAATTGACATGCAAGAACACAAATGGTTTGACTTTTTTCCTACACATTTTTTTTAACAATTTTGTTGTAAATTTATAGCGTGTTTCTTACGAAAATCAGTATTGAGTGATGATCAGATTCAATTAATGAAAAACAAAAACCTAAGAAGTGAGGTCTTGAATCATCCCTTCGAGCTGACTGATATCAGATCAAATTGGTATGTTACCTCCTATTCAAAACGCTTGGTGAGTTTTATTAGAATATATGTTTATCTTCGACTTGGTGTAGCCAATTTGAGGGATATAGGGGTCTAACAAGGAATGTTAACGGCTCAGGAGGCACTATAAGCAATGCATTTTTTTGAAAAAGGAATGTTAAAGTATCAGTTCAATGTGCACGTCAGTCAGAGATGTTTATGTGAGCTCTATCAGTTTGATTTGGTGATTTGAGACTAGTTCCTTAGTTTATCGATCTCATCGGCGCGACCTCCTCCGTGAGCATAATCAGCGGAGGTTGGCCATGTTTCCCCTCAATGTTGCAAAAAAAGATATTGGACCGATATCATGATTAGACCGTAGTGTACATAGCAGAGTCCTCCTTGGCATCAAACGCGCTCCGGGGGACGTCTCGGCGGTTGGTCAGGGTTGTGTTAAGGTAGATTGCAAAGTAAAATTCAACCAAGGTTTGGATATCATGTTTGATGTCCAAAAGAGCCGCAAGGGTGTATGAGAACTCTATACGTGACACCACTTCAATCATGCATTTTATACATTTGACACAGAGTTCCATCACCACGGTAGGAGAGCTCGCGTTATGAACATGTTGTAAAATATGCGCCTCCAAAACTTAGATTCAGCTGGAACTAATCAATCACCACAACAAAACTTTCTGGAAAGTTGAGCGTAAGAAAAGAATTACTCATAGAGAGAGATTAAAGATTATTTTTTAAAAGCCACAAGGACAGTTGAATTTCAGAAAAAAGATGAATTCACCATGAATTCAGATCAATATTACAAGGCTTTGTCAATAAAAGTAAAGATTGAAAACGAAAAGATAGAAAAACAGTAAAAGGAAAAAGAAATGCAGATAGAATATAAAGCTTCATGATTGGTCCAAACTGATAAAAAAAGATAAACATACATATTGAGAGACGATACACAAAGAGACAATGAAAGTCCAAGAGTGAAACAAAGGCAAGACGAAGTGAGTGGAATCCCGTGATACCTAAAAGAGGAAGAGAAACCCGAAGAAATCCAGAATCAAGAGAATAGAGGCAAAAAGAAGAGGCAGAGATGTGAAGACGACCAGTAAGATAAAGCTACATAACATTAACATCCCAAGTGATCAAATTGATGATGAATAAAAAGGTCCAAGAGAGCAAATAGGTTGCAAGACTCAAACGTATTCAAAGGTTTAGACATTGTAAGAAAGATCGAATAAAGTTGCCTGCTGGTGGCCCTTGAGGTTTCAGATTTGAATATTATTGAAATCTGCGATGATTGGGGCGGAAATGGAATCGATTGAGACTTTGATCCGGCGAGTCGGGCCAGCCTTTTGGACCGCAAAACCCTTGGACGGAATTCTCTGAGGTGGAGTGGAATACATCGCATGAACAGCCTCCAATGAGGGTAAGGGGGAGCCAGGTAGGCCAAAGTAGTGACCACGGAAGCTGGAGAAGGAGCTTGGTGAGAGTAGTGGGCCTTCGCCCGAAGCAGGTGACCAGCCCGGGGAAGCAAGGGCAGGTGGTGATCCTCCAGGATGTAAACTTGCCGCGGCTGGATCCAAAGCTTTGCCCCACTTATTGTCGGGGGACCAGGGGCTACCCAAGGCACTGATGGCGTCAGGAGAGGCAGTGATAGTGGTGGCGAGAGGGACACTGGAATTTGCAGGAGCGAGCTTTGTGGTTTCTTCGTCAAAGTCTAGGGTTCCAAGCCATCCCGCTCGACGTTCAGGCCGACAGGGAGCCTCGCCACAGCATATGAAATCCCAACCATCCTCATTCTCCATCTCTTCATCTTCACCATTGAGGTGAAAGAATTGGGTGATTGGCCCCGTCACTGAGCGTGCAATACCACGACGATGACGCACGTCGTTTTGAATCTTGACCAGTCCGCTACAACTTCGACTGGCGCTGATACCAGTTGTATTAGGGGGTGATCCACTCATTGTCCAGTCAACGGAGTGGTTTCCCGGAAGTGATGGTCGAAGAACCTGCCATAGTTAAAATCATGTTTTGTCTCAACGAGATATCAACGCAAATTAACGTAGGTACTTACGGTTGATGAAATCTTTTGACAAAGCATTCCTGCTACGCTATCCGCGCCAAATGATTTACGGGCCACAAGGGTTGAGATAGTTGAAAGCGTAGGAGACTTGGGTCCAGGTTCAATCTCCGTACCAGGAGTGATTGGGGAGGTTGGAGACGATGCGGAGGAGCCTGCACTTGAAGGAGTTATACTTGAAGGAGTTCGGACAGCTGGGAATCGGAAAGCGCGGGCGGGATCCATCTCGAGTTCTGAGTGTGAATTGAGTGAGGATTAAGGTGAGCTTTGTTTTACAATTAAATGAATGTGTTGGCGAAGTGAGGTGATAGAAATTAAGAGTTTAAGATTCAAAAGAATGCAGAAAAAGAGTGTATGATTGAGGAATAAAGATAAAGTAAGCTTAGAATATGATTAGAATGAAGAGATAGGAAAAGTTTGATGTCTTACGTGTTGAGTTGTTTATATCGTGTGTTGGTATTGGAGGGCGAGGTTGATGATATCTGGGATTTCCAAGAGGGCGTGTTATACGTTTGTTATTGATAGTTGGCTGATGGACTGAGTAGGACTTTTCAAGAAAAGTGGCAAGAAAATTGAAGAAAAGGTGATAAATCGTGATGTAAACGTGCTGATAAGTTGAGAGGGAAATAATGCAAGATTATGATGAAGGCTTGATGGGTTAACAAATGTGTTATTTCGGAATTTTGATCAGATTTCAGGCTCAGTTCGAATCCTAACAGGAAACAGGAACCATCAAGGCATGTCTGAATTGCAAATGGCATGTTGGGTTCAAGATATATGGCATTGACAGTCAATATTCCCTTACCAATCGTCGATTTTGACTGACCTCCCATCTCAAGGTCAGGTCTTGCCATCTCAAACTCAATTCCACTTGTGCCCATTTCTTGGGAGTAAGGATTAACGGGGGATGAAAATGCCCTTCATTGTGAGGCTTTGTTTCAACGGTTGTTCAACTTATTATGGCTGCGTGTTGTGTAGGTCAAAGTCAACTTCAACACACATCAAAGGATGTGAGTTTGATAGTAAGTTGGCTTTTGTATCCTGTCCATTTCCTTTTGATGTATTGTTTTTGTTTATTAGAGTCAAATAGCATCTGTTTATGGTATCTCAGAATCTATCACTGTTGCTGCTCATGTATAGCTGAAGAGATTAAACTTTCAAGGGGATCTATGTCGACCAAATCAGGGTGTTGAGAAAGATGGTCCCTTCCTCTTTCATCTTTTTGCGGTGTGGGCAGTTGGATTTCAAAAAAACACAATGTCATTTTCAATCTTGTAGATAGTTTTCTAAGCTCTTTGGCCCGAAGCACTCTCAGTAGGTAGCATGGAGAAGAAGGGTGGGGAAACAGATGTGTTTCATAGTCTGTAGTCCAAGAAACGTAGTGGACAGCAAAACTTAAAGACCACTTCAATTTCCATTGCCACGGAGTTCATTTATTTATCCTGTGAGCTCGATCAAGGATCATCATCACAAGAACTCAACCGCACATGTGCCAGGGACAACCGAGTAAACATTGGGAAAGACTTTGAAGGTACTCAATTTTACAACCAACATTTCCTATCCAATCCAACACTTTGCGCAATCTAGAACCCTCCAGGCTTCTTTCTACGGCAGCCTTTTCCCAGACGGGTCTCGCCCTGGGAGAGGTTTTGACCACACTCTGCAAACTGAGACCTTTGCCCATATCGAATTTCTTTGCTCGCCTCCCCTGGCTAGGCAAGGGAAGAACACATCCTACAACCGGAGAAAGCAATCAATCGAATGGAGATGACCTTCCCACTGACCCAAACCAAAAATTTATTGACAACCATACTTACTCAGCAGGCTGGAAAGCTGTGTTGAACAAATGGCAGACTTCCACTCAACACAAATATGTTGCAATTTGCTGTATAACAATAACCACCATTGGAATTGAGTCTCTGAATCTCATTGGCTTTGACTCCCTCTTGAAAAGGTTGTCTCTGAGTATATGTTGTGTAGCTTGAAACCAAGCCAATTGGAACCATTCTCTCAGTAAACTCCATGTAAAACTTTGGCATTTAATATAATCAGTCAGAATTCCAACTTGGCATAAACTTGGACTTTATCCTTTGCCTTGATAGGCTTGGTGGTCACGTGGTGGGCATGGCGTGAAAGGCGTGCCTGGGGCGCACTCCCTGGGCGCGCCCGCTGAGGCTGGATTTGGGGGTGGCGCGCCCTGGTTATATAACTAGGCAAATGGGCCAGGTAAAGCAAGGTGGCTTCCTAAAAATTGCCTCAATATTGCCCAATCAACTCCATCTGAAGTTCAAATGCTTTGAAATTTACACCCACACATCATCAAGATATGCTTATAGTCAACAAGAAAAACACTTCCAACTGGGTTCTACCAACTTCTGCGTTTGGAAAGCATTGGACTGGATTCTACAATGTCAACACAGGTTTGATGTATCTGATTCTTCCCCTGAAGATGAGGATTGGAACAAGGATAAAAAGTTTTGTGATTAACCTTGTATCTACATACAGCATAGGGTTTTGATACTGACATTCAAAGTAAAACACTACAAATACCCATGAAACTTGAAAGGCTTGTGCCTCTATATTTATCTTTTTTGGGAAAAAAAGAATTTTTTATCTTAAAGGCGCACCTCCACGCCCCCACTAAGGGTGCGCCCATCACAAATCAAAAAGGAGCGCCCTGACACTCCTCAAATCAAAAACCCACGCCCCCCACGTGAGTTGGTGGCAATGAAGGTTTGCAGTGTAAAAGCATCAAAGATACAAGGCTGCAACTATACTATACTATACCTACTATATTATACTTGCTTATACTTGGTATAGCATAGTCCAACTATACTTACTTGAACTATACTTGGTATAGTACACCCACTTCGGTAACGCATATGTAACATATGCGACCGAATATGTACCACCAAAAAAACATACTGAATTTCGGTTGTATATATGACCCGGAAAACCGATTCGGTAAACCAAAGTACAACAAAAGTCGGATACATATTTTTCCATATATATCTAAAAATCATCGATATTCTCCAAAACGACTTTTCGTCGTTTTTTTTATGAATCTTCAACAGATATCTTTTCAATATCTTTCATCTCAAAGTACCGATTCGTCTTTTTTTGTACTTCACCGAAAAAAATCAAAGTTTTTTCTTTCTTTTTCTCTCATCACAAACAACTTCAACGATTCAACACCTCAAGTTCAAAAAATCCAATCACAAATCTGGTCAACTCATCTTTATCTTCCCTTTCATCAAAGCTCAAAGTCGACTTCAAGCTGTCCTTCAAGCCACTTTCAACTTAAAAATCTTCTCTCGATTGTTATTCAATTAGTTATTTGATTGATTTATTACGTTTTCCTTTTCAACATCGACATGCCGGCGTCAACCAATGTGTCACAATCGGTTGAAGACAGTCCAATTGTTTCAACACCATCATCCAAGTGTGAATGGACTAGCGATCAAGAATCCAAAATGATTGAACATCTTATAAAAACTCATAGGAATAATAAAAGCAACAAAGGCTTTTCTAAAGCGACTTGGGCATTAATTGCAACTGAATTGAAGGGGACTGAAGGCGCGACTAAAAAAAAGACTGGTGAGATGGTACATGGTCATTATAATGTGGTCAGTCTTTTGCTTTTGTCTCTTTCTTTCTACTGTATGCTAATTGTCTTTTCATTTCAAATCAAGCTTAACAAACGATACAAAGATGCGAGCGATTTGTTGAAGAAAAGCGGTGCCGGATGGAACCCCGAAACGAATATGGTCGAGCTCAGTTCCGAAATCTGGAACGAGATGGCCAAAGTACCAGTATGTCCATTCATTCTTATCTTCATGCCTTCAATCACTTATCATTTCTTTCTCATCCCAGTCAGGAACTAACAAGCGTTTAGGTTGGTTCAGAAGGAACCCCTTCCCGCTTTATGAATCAGTTGGTGTGCTCGTCGATCCTGGGATGGCCAAGGGAACTGGGAAGGTCAATTCTTTTGCTCCTGCCGAGGAAGCTGATGGAGAAGGTGAAAAAGATAAGGATGATGATACTTCAAGTGGCAAATCAATGAGCCGTGATGGGAGTCAACATGGGAGTTTAGATGAATCTCGACTTCAGCGTGCTATTGAATCCGAAGAAGAAACACCAGCACCTGCTAGCGTTCGTTCTGGAAACAAATTCATGAAAGGAAGAAGATTCAAACATAACCGATCACCAGAAGCTGAAGAAGTGCCTTCAAAAGGCAAAGCTCAAAAGCCTTTCGAAAGGAAACAGCGCAAGACTGCTGCTCAAGCTGGAGACGATTTTATAGATGGAATTGGCTCAATCTCAGATAAATTCATTACTCACATGGCAAATGATACTAGCACTTTAGCCTCTGGAAGTTTGACTCAACCTTACGACTTTCTCACCACTGCTACTCGGGGATTACGCAAGCTCGGTTTAAGTCAAGATGAACTCTATAAATCAATGGAATTGTTAAAGAAAGATGTCGATTATGCGAAGATGTTTGTTGGTCTTGAAGAAAAAGATCTACAACTCGGTTGGATCAGAGGGAAGTTGGCAGGTAATTAAAAACAAATGTATTTAATTCAGTTACAATTTTTTTTCAAAGTTTATCTTCCTTTGTTCTACCAACTATACTTGTAATTTAAGAAGAAGGTCCATCTTAACAATTTCCTAAAGGTTTTGTGATACAAGTACATCTTTATCGATTGTACATCTTTATCGATTATATAAAAATACTAAAACATGCAAATATTACATCTTTATCAAGTTTCTAAAAAAACTAAAAGATGAGTGTGTGATTAATTATGATAATAAATTGTTAATAAGTGAGATTGAAGGTTTTATGGTAAGCTTATAGATGGAAAAATCGAAAAACAAATGAGTAATATAATTCACATTCCACGAGCATCTCGTTGTTGGCGATAATTTCTCCACATCGCTTTAGCGATTTTCGTTCTCAACTTTCCTGCTTCGGATGACTCTTCAGCAGTGTTCCCAACAGCGTGTAACTCCTCTTGATTGACTCGAGGTTGATAGTTTTCATCAAATTCCCCATTAAATTGTTCATCATTGCTATCGACTGTTCTGATAAAGTTATGTATAAAAGCCATTAGGAGTATCAATCTTGCTTGAATTAAGATGGGATAATGTGACCCTTCTCCCATCACTTTAAACCTTTGCTTCGTTACGCCAAATATTCTTTCAATATAATTTCTTAAAGAAGC